TTAGACAAAATTTAAGTTTACTCTATTTAAACAAAATTTAATTTAGATTTAAGTAAATATGTTATTAGTATTCACTGCGCATAGACATTTTCTTTTCGGATATTTTTCCTCTCAGTGCGTGGGTTGGTGCAAAAGGTATCATCATTCTCTTGAATTTTCGTAGAAAGCTTGAACGTTAAAAATTGGAAGCCCTCGTTAAGTGTCTGAAAAAATATAACAGCGAGTCGCTATTGCTCATTTTATTCGTAAAAATTATTAATCATTCCAAATTGAATAATTTTATTTGACAAATGCGACGAATCGTATTTTTGCGCAATAGAATTACTAGAATTTGCATGGAGAAACATTTGATCGAATTAGTTAAATATCTAGAATGAAATATGAAAGAATTTCGTTTGAAATTGTATCAGAATTTTTGTTCGTTTATATTTCACCAAATATTCCATTAATTCAACCAAATTATCTCTCTTTCCGTAGAACTGTTATAAGAGAATAGAACAGAGTGATAGAATAGGAATAGAAAATTACTAAAACATAATAGAATTGTTTTATTCCAACGTGGACATTTTCCTGTGTCAATGATCAATGTTCACATCAGAGACACGAGCGGCTTCCATCTCTCTTTTGCGAGGAGTTCGCGTAAGTTTGTTAATTGTAATACCGAGAACGTGCATAGAACGCACAAGAGACATGAAAGGAAAATGACGTGCAAACGTGGAAAGATAATTATTACAAAATTCGTATCTCACCAATGGCCGACATTATTCGCGGTTATGATCAAAGACCGAATTGTCTAACCGGCGGAGAATATTCAAAGCGCAACGACCACAAAATTTCCGGCTGAGAATAGTTGAAAAGCGGAAGGAGAATAGTTGAACTCGGTAGGTCTTTAGCTGAGCGAGCCGCCGTCGCGCGAATGTCATTAATTTTAATGGATAGACCGGTGTAACATTAGGCACGCTCCTCTCTCCTTCTCTCTCTCTTTCTCCTCCCACTGCTCAACATTCGATCAAAGAACGTACCATAAAACGTCGCGCTGGCTACAGGAAACACAAGTAGTCTCGGATTTATGACATCGCACCGTGTCGCGTGCAAAAGTAATGAACGAAAGATCACTGAAGGATTAATAATTTCGCAAGGAGAGACATTTCACGCCGGCCTCGTTAATTTTAATAGATCGTGCGGAGCGACGAGGCCGTTCATTGTTCATCATTGTTCACGGCGGCCGTCGGAAAACCGACGGCAAGAGAGGCGCGGACAAAGTGTGTTAGAACGTCTAGACAAAAGCTGAAAGACAATACCGGGGGCTCAACTTCCATACGAGCAGATTATCCCGAAAGCGGCGCGGAAGCTCCAATTTTGAAAATGTTTCCGAGCTAAGTGCACCTCGCGTTAGGCGCGATCTTTATCTTGCCTCTCCCGTTAGAGAATTTTCGCCACCTAATTAAGCAACTCGCCCACACTCTTTTCCCCTCCGAAGAAACTAGCGAGTAAAAGTCAAATTATTTTACTTTACTTGACTTCCCTCGTTTGCTGCAGAATATTTTTTGTTCCCTGCGTTTTGCTGCGGAATCAGTGAGTAGAAATCGATTTACTGTATCTAATTTTATTTTTATTTAATTTTAATTTTTATTGTTTTTTTATACACACGCTGACGTTTCATGCTTTGCGATCTTAATTTCGCTCGGAAAAATACATTCTCACTCGGCCGGTCTCGAAAACGAGCAAATTTGTTTTTGGCTCTTTTAGCAAAAAGAGAGCGGCAAAATATCTAAATGATTCTCGATTTCGCCGCTTCGACGGGCAAAGGTTTCGCCCAGCGCCGGGCAATATCACGATTACAGGCGTAAATGTTTGCGATTCTCTCGACCCTACGCTGGAAATTAACGGCCAAGTGAGCAGTTGGCAATTCCATTTTGTGTGACCGAGGCCGCGTTGTTTCGCGTTGGACGAGTGTCCGCGATGTACGAGAGAGACCGCTGACCTGATAAACGCATATGGACGATACTTTTTTACGGCGATCGATATGACGACTATCAGCGTCCTGCGCGTCGGCAAATAAATATATTCGCGCTTGAACGACTGCTCGATGGCTCGAAAGTGCCGCATTAGATTGCGATTTGAAATGCGCATGGGTAAAATGGAAACTAACGCGCGTACTTAGCGTATTTAAGAGGAATTTTTATTAAAATTATGATTACAATTCATTGTTATAATGAAAAATTATGACATTATTTATGTAATAATATTCATTTGTCATAGCATAATAATATTTATATGATGATAATTTGTTATCGTACTTTCTGTGTGTAAATTCTGTACACACAGTACGCGTTGATCAACAGTGCTACGATAGCATTTGATTCGACACAAGAGTCATTCCACTCTCCCCCATTTTAAAATAACAGGAATCCTGCAGATTCCTGGAATGCAGATACGTAGAAAACTGCATTGAAGAAAACGTTACCAAAATATATTCTGAATGTTTCGTAAGTTTATGTTTCCACAAATTTATCACACATAGGTTTATCGTAGGCATTAGATTTATTGAAAATATATACTGAATCCCAAGAAAGCTTAGCATTTCAATAAAAAATATTAAATTAAAACATAAATTCGGTTTGTTTATTTATATAAAGTGAAAGCAACTTTTCCTTCGATAGAGTTTTATGATACTCTTGTAAAAAGTATTTTTATAATATTCTTGTAAATTCTTCTTTTGAGTGCATGATAAGGAGCTTTTCTTAAATTTGTGATGAGTATATATTTTAAGACTATTATCAGGAAAATATTTCTTTGTTGAAGATAAACATTACTTAAAGGAAGGCAAGTAAACGAAGTAATCGTCTTTCTTAACGGTGGTATGATATTTTTCTGTGTGCACCAACGCGCGTTGAAGACAAGTTCCGCCTCTAACGTAGTCCTTCTCGAGATGCTGTCGCGAGTCGCAGCGCGACGATTTCCACCAGCCAGGACGTAGCACCTCGTCCAGTGACTCGAAGAGATTTTTCACGATCGGGGAAAAGCACGGGCGGGCTATCATTAGCCCGCGCGGAAAATACACTCCGGCGGTTTGTAAGCTCCAAATTGAAACGTCGAGGGTCCTCGACTCGTTACGCCGGCCGGCCTCTCTAGCCCCCGTCGACGACGACGACGACGACCCTGTTCCAAATCCTTAAATCCTGGCACTTAGTGCGAAATTAAGTGCCACCTGGTACCGGGTATAAGCGTAGCCTCCAGGAGATGAAGGCAAATGTTTGATCGGACATTATGACCGTGCCCCCGGGGGAGGAATTAGAGTTAATAGAGGGTTATATCGGCCGGGTTTTCCGCCGCACAAAAACGCTCCATCTTCCTTGACCGCTAAACCGCCGCGACCGACGTTTTTCACGTGGAGTCCTACGACCCTTTAATTGGACGCCGTTCTTCCCCAGGAAGCAATTTGAAGCGAGCGAATAAGGGCGTCGCCCGAGCGCTAAACCGATACGTATCAATCCGCGATTAATGGATAAGGCCTCTGTGAGGATATTAAATGTTCGATTGTGCGGCGAAGAGAAGAGACGTCCGGCCGATTCGAACAGACCGCCTTCCTGAGCCGTTTCTTCACGGCGAGAGAGAATGTTATAGTTATTTTTTTTTCATATAAATTCGTTTTTCAATTTGCTACTTTATTACTGTCTTAGTAGGGTCTAGTAAGGTCTATCTTGCTGAGGAACAGTAAACTTCGAATGGTAAATAGCATATATGAAATAAAAAATTAATAAATTATTGCAAAATGTCGATCTATTCCTTGGCTATAAATTCTACGGTAATTTTTACTAGAAAATTCTTCCGTGCAGTCAAGTAAACATCGAATAGGGTTATCAACTATATGTCCTGCTGATTTTTATTATGGTAGCTATATTTTAGATATTGTTGTTGTTATTATTATTATTATTATTATTATTATTATTAAAGAGCTTTATTGATCAATAGTCAAGATTTTCATCAAAATGGTTCTGATTATCAACGGTATTCGTCTTTAATTTATTAAAGGTTTTATCAAAAAACTCTGGGAAATAATCCTGATTCATGCAAAGAAGAGAGAAAGAGGGGGAAGGGAGAGAAGACCAATTTCGCCGATTTGTAAGAAAATACTCGTTGCGCGGCTTACTCTCGAAAATTAATTATCAGCCTACGTGCCTTAATTTGAACCATCGACAGTGTCATTTAATTAATTCGTCTATGCCGCTGATCGGCGTCTTCACGTGCTTCTTCCCTCCCCTTCCCCGCGACGCCACCTTACTCATCTACCCCTGTCCGTTCTCTCATCGTCGGCGTCCCCGCGCCCCGGCGATGGCGTCGCACCGAGTTATTTATTTAATTGGACATTAAAGCGCGAGAAAGCAATTATGAGGAACGATGAGCTGTCTCTATGCCTCTTTGGGGAACGGTATATTTTAATTAAAGGCGGCAGAAACGGAGGTGAGTGCGGGCGCAAGGGAAAGGAGGGAAAAATGAGATCGTTCCTCGTTGTTATCCTGGGGGCTGAAAAGACGCCGCAAGTGTCCGCTCGATATTCGCTGATTGCCCGCGTCGTATTTCCGGTCCATTACACGGGACGCTATTTATCATGAGTCAACTGGACTGTGTGTGCTCGTAGCATCCGTCAATTCTCCATATCAAGATAGGTGCCATATGGGAAATTGGAATGATATCTTGAGAAAAATGGTCGGTCATAAATCGTGAAAAATGACCGTCGCTTGAATATCTCCCGCGGAACGCAACACATTTTGCGATAAATACGTTTTACATGCACCTACGATTACTGAGTTGACATTTATTATGTGTAATGTGGTAAATTTTCTATTACATTTTCCAATTTATATTTGCATCGCGTGTGTAGTGATCACACTATGTCGAAATCATTTCCACTGTATGGAAGTTATGAGTCTCAGGTGAAGTCGCCTTGCACGAGGAGCACCGCCCGCCTCTAATTATCTCTATTTTTGCGTTTTCAGGTGAACGGACAGGACGTTTCGAACTCTAGTCACGAAGATGCTGTGCGTTGCTTCCAGTCGGCCCAGGAGCCAATTATCGTCGAAGTTCTTCGACGACAGCCGACGCATCAACAGGTTCCTCACACGCCCTCGAAGGAGCACGAAAGGATCGCGTGCCAGGATAAGAGCGAGGGAACGACGAACGGGAAGGGCCCTATAGACGAGAGAACGTGCAACGACGATGCGAAGAAGGACACGGCATCCCCCTTGGTATCAACCGCGGTCCAAACGGACTGGGCCGGTCTCATCGAAGAGGAGGAGCTGCTTCCGGTTCCTCTCGTGGTCGAGGAACAGGCGAACGACAGTTTCGAAGACTTTCTCGCTCACGACATCGACTTCGAGGTATTCTAACAGTCTTACAATTGTTGAATCCAATCGTTAGTGCTTGTTAAAAACGCGCGGTGACTCGTGATTTGTTTACACTCTGCAAAATATACATTGATAAATTATAGTGAGAGATACAATGAGAGAGAAACGTGACATAAATTGTGAAAGAAAATATTCTAATATTTTGTATAATCTCTTTTTGATGTCTCTTCTCTCTCTCTCTCTCTCTCTCTCTCTCTATATATATATATATATATATATATATATATATATATATAAAAGATAAAAAGTGATTCAATTTTCGAAATTGAATTAATTATTTCATAATACGTATTGATGTATGAAATATAATACGTCATTGTGCGAATTTCTGAGTTGAGATTTTTTTTTAATAGAATGATTGAAAGTTATATTGAATCACTTTGATTAAATCCACTCGTGGTTCATCGAAATCTCTCGTCGAGGATGATTGACTCATCTGTAAGATTGATAACTGACGGTTGCGAGAAGCATAGAAAGAAGAGCCGGGAGAGAGAGACGTGAGACGATTTGACAAAATAATATACTATACATACGCGCGTATAATAAATTAAGGGAACAATAGCGCAGCTAGATTCCACGTAAACGCGTGACCTCTCGCTGTAATGTGTTTGTTCAGCGATGATAATGTTCAGCGCTTTAACGTCGCCGTTGCCCGGGGAAAGCTTTATGCAAACACGCGTATATTTATTTCGTCCAACATTGTCTGGCATGGCGGACATTAATACGGTTGTGGAATACTGCAGGAGGTGACGTTGCGGAAAAGCGGAAGTGCCGAGAAGCTCGGGCTGACGGTGTGTTATAGCTCCGGTTCCGGCAGCGAGGAAGCCGACACAGAAGTTTATATCTCGGAAATAGTTCCTGAAAGTCTCGCGGCCCGGGATGGCCGGCTGCGAGAGGGAGATCAAATCTTGCGGGTAAAATCAGGCTTTCGCCTTTCATCCTGCTGTTCTCGCAGAGATCGAAAATTATTATTATCGCGAATTCCGTAATCTACACGGGGAGAATGTTATAGTTCATTTTCGTGTAAATTCTTTTCGAGTTTACGATATTTTTAGTGAACCAGGAATAGTCAGTAAAGGCTATTTTTTTAACGAACATAGCAAATTTTGCTAGAAACAGCAGGTGTTTTAATAACATATCTCAATTTTAAAATATAAGCACACATGAAATGAAAAGATACTGAATTACACACATGATATAATAGCACACATGATATAATAGCACACATGAAATGAAAAGATACTGAATTACTGAATATCGATATATTTCTCGGTTACAAAATCCTAGTTTTACTATAAAATTCTCCTCGTATACACGGGAAACAAATTTCAGCTCGTGTAACTGAATAGGGACTAGAGAGACATTCAGTGACGAGAGAGAAATTATATTATTAAACTCTTTTTTATTGAGTACTGCTATACACACTGCTATATAAGTTATAACAAAAGTTTATGTATCTCTGTTACCGCGAGCGGAAATATTCGTCTGGACATTAAAACATAATTGAGATAACCGAGAACAATTAACTGAATGGAAACCTCTTACAGGAATATTTTTGTTCCTACAACAGCGTTTTTGTCCGATCTCCAAGTAACAGAAAATTCAGTTACACTAATGAAGTTACTTTCCCGTGTACATGCGCGCTACTCGAATAAAAGTTTCGTGCCAATGATCGTGCGATAATTCGCCGGGTAAATCGTACAAAGTCGAGAAACTCGAGAAAGGAGCGTGTAAAATTGTGGCATGAAAAGCGTTACGAAATTTACACACGAAATTGTGTGATATGCACATCGTTCGAAGATGTCATGTTGGTCGTGATAGCGGAATTTTGCGTCACGGATCCCCGCGACGTTCGCGAATTTTCCGTTGATGCCTCATTATCCCCGCCGAGGTTCCTAAGCTCTCCATAGCCCTCTAATCCCATTAAGCAGATTATAATTACGGTCCGTATGCTCTTTCGCTTTTGTTCCTTTGCCGCTCACGCTTCCTTGAATCGACGAGAAATCGAACCGAGCAATGGATGAGTGTGCGATAGATTTGTCGCCGTTTGTCTGCCTAGGTTCTTTTGTCAATGAGAGCATGTTTCCGTCTGGTGTAGTTGGCGGCTCGTTTATATTCGACTTCTTGCCGGAAATTATCCGCTCGTTTAGATCGAAGGGGATCGCGTCTCGAAAAAGGCGCGTCCGACGGGAAAGAACGCGTATCGCTTCCTCTCGGATAATCGAAGATAACGGCAATTTACAACATCAATATTTATCTATTTATTTATTTTTTAATTAGACATAAATCACACGTCGAGTCGAGAAGTCGGCTTCTCTGTTTTTATCTGTTATTATTATTGTTTTTATTATCATTATGATTGCAAGTGTAGATTCTGGAGAATGGGAAATTTGCGTTGAGTCAGCTCCACCGAGCACGAAGGGTTTCTAAGCCGGATTTACATTCAGAGTACGGCGTTTCATTATGCATGTACATCTCTCGCGAGAACAGTGACTCATTTCGGAAATCAAGAAACGGCCTCGCTATTCATTGAGAACGACCTCTCCGTTCTCGTTCCAGGTCAACGGCAAGGATGTCGCGAACAAGGAGCAGACTGAGAACTTGTTCGCGGAAACGAAAAATGCTGTGACAATTCTCGTCAGCCGATGTCTATATCAAGTTTGTGTTTCCATCTCACATATTATTATTGCATTATTAAATTCTACAAAATTACATGGAGATCAGTTTGAAGAGTGAATTATAACGACAAAGATATAAGAAGTTGGGAAAAGTTTCTAAAACTTCGTATGACTTCTCTTCTCTTTAAAATAAAAAGTTATATAACTGAAAATGAAATTAATTATCATATAATATATTGATATACGAGATACGCTTCCTTGACTAATCAATTTATTTCTGTCTTGTAGGATGACGAGTACGATGACAGGCGCATCTATCATCAGGTAAGTCAAGTTATTCTCGGGAAAAAAAGCATATAACGTTCGCTCGGAGCGTGTATCGTTATCTATCATGAACATTTCACTTCAGGGCTCGCCGCCGCTCTCGCCTGAGAATCTACCGGCGTATCAGAACAGCATGATCGAGCAGCTGATCCGTCAACAGCAACAGCAAACGGAGGAGCGTACCAAAGAAAGCGAGGTAAACAACTCCACTCTGAAAGCACCCCCTGCTATACCTTCTCATACTCAACAACAACAGCAGCAGCAACAACAGCAGCAGCAACAACAACAACAGCAACAACAACAACAGCAGCAGCAGCAGCAACAGCAACAACAACAACCACCACCACCTGTCAACATTTTCTCCACGAACTCGTCGTCCACGTGTTCGTCGCAAAACTCGCAAAAGTCCAGCAAGAACGCGACCTCTCCGGCACACCACACGGAGGACCGCAAGCAGTGGATGCAGGACGCTATGAAGGATTGCTCAAAGAGGCTTGACAATATTTCCTTGCGCGGCCAACAGTCAGGGCCGCCCGCGCCACCGGTGAAGCTCGTCGAGGCGTACTCGAGCCATGTCTGGAGCGACACCGAGCACATCTACGAGACGATACCGGAGTCAGACAGCGAGCCCATTTACTCGTCGCCGTATGAGCACCATCAGCATTGGACGACGCAATCCTCGACGACGAATCATGCCGCGACGTTGCAACACGTACAACCGAATCACGCGACCGGCAATCAAAAGTGGCACTCGTCTTCAAAGAGCAACAGCTCCGGCGAAGAGAAGGACAGCTCGAGCGCGTACAACACAGGCGAGTCTTACCACAGCAATCCTCTCACTCTGGAACTCCATCAAGGTGAAAGAGACCATCATAAGAGCACGTTGGTGCTGTGCCCACCACCGAAGGCGCAGCAACAGCAAGCACAGCAGCAGAAACTGGGCTGCAACTGTCCCATGCCGGTGACACCCACGACGACTTCCGCCGCCAAGCAGTCGAAGAATCAGAGCACGAGGAAGAGCTCATCCTCGTCGCACCATCACCGAGATCGCAATGAGCCAACGATGACGAACGCTAATACACTACCGGCCGACACAATGTACACAAACGTGGCGAATCTGCAGCAAACGATGATGCTGCAGCAGCAGCTATTCAAGCAAGCACTCAATCGCCGGAATCTCACCACCAAGGAGACCAGCGGCGCGCGGAAATCTAAGTCGCACGGTAACTTCCAAGCGCCGAATCTGACGCAGTATCAGTTCGTCGGCAGCCAGCAGGTGTGCACATCCACGTGGATACCGCCGGAGGATAAGGGCGAAGTGCAGATGGAGTGGAAGGTAAAAAGACGGGCGGACGGGACGAGGTATATCGCCAGGCGGCCCGTGAGGAATCGGATATTGCGAAATAGGGCAATCAAGATATCCGAGGAGAGAGCCGGTCACACAACCGAGGACGACACTATGTCGGAGATGAAGGTGAGCCCAGGTCGATAATCGCGATAAGATTAGATTAGATCTCGAGACTGAGCTTAAATTTTTGATGTACAATACTTTGTCAAAACTTTTCAGATAGAATCTTGTTTCATGATCAATATCCCTGATTTAATTATTAATTTTTGAACTTAATACAAATAAAATGAAAGATAAAAAAGTAGTAGAATCGTGAACACACTATACCACACGTCACACGTGTGTTTTATTCCTAAATATTAATCCTTTACAAAATTAGATAATTCCGTTCTATCTTATTTGTAACGAATGTGGCAAATATTTTGCGCGGACCTAATAAATAAATAAAGTCTGTTTTACACTATTACATGAAAAAATGTAAAATTTAGAATAATCTGTGAAGGACAGTGATCTTAGCAAATTTGCTGAAACAATTTTTTGTTTTTAAGAAAAGCAATTTAGTTGTTACAATTAATTTATCATCATCGTAACTATTATTGTTAAAACACATGTGTTCTCATATCACCAGGTAGGACGATATTGGAGCAAGGAAGAGCGCAAACGGCAACTGGAGCGTGCACGCGAACGCAAACAACGGCAACAAGAGCTATTGCTGCAGCAGCAGCAGCAGCAGCAAATGCAACAGACCAACGATGTACTAATATGCGAACACACGGAGGACAAAGTATCGAAGAAGCCGCTGAATATTGTCGAACTCAGTCACAAGAAGATGGCGCGCAAAAAGACGACCCTGGACGACTTCACCACCGTGCAAGAAATGTTAGTTCACGGAAATAGGGTGGGAGCAGGTGGTCCTGGCACGGGAGGGAAATTAATGGGTCTACTGTCGGTTACTACAGTATAAGTGGACTCGTTGTACCTTTTAGTTTGCCAAGTTTTAATCGCTTGCCACGTGAATATTGAAATACAATGCGCATGGAGACACGCGTCCCCCGCGGGCATGCGATTGTTGCAACGAGATGGCTTAACGCGGCAGGCGTGCAGCTGAGATTCCGGAACTTTAGCACGGTGCAATCCACGCGACACATTGTCCGTTTATATCGTGTGCACGTGCAATGTTCCGCTCACGGACGTAATTGTTGGATAACGAGCTGAAAGCTCACGGAAGGTGTTTAACAGTTATTCGAACGATCCCTACGGGACTGTTTACTCGGGATACGACGCGTATGCGCGTATACATACACATAGAAGTGCGTAAGTTTACTTGGCGGCCAGAACAGGAAGCAAAATCCTTGTAATCGCGCGACAAATGTTACACGTCGCGCTGTTCGCTCCTCGATGAAGAGGAGAAGACAATTTGATATCACAGTTTTTGAAATATATACATAGACGACGAGGACGACGGCGAGACTTTCTCATTGTCGGTTCCCTCGAATGCGATACATTCGGCGATGTTCAAATACTTGTGATTCTACGACGAGAAAGAAGCGCGGCGGCGCGCGCATTGAACTGCAATAAAACGAGGAAGCTTACGTTATCGCTGTTGTGTGTACACATGCGTGGAGTTTATATACAGCACGTTCGCCCTAACTGATACTGTAAATATTCGTCGTACACGATAATTTATGTAGATTTTACACGTGCGTGTGCCCGCCCGCACGCGGCAGGAGGACTTCACATACGCAGTGGAATACTTTTCACCATTGTGCTACGTGGTGATTATAGGTTTGTAGATATGTATGATAAACTTAAGCACAACACGTGTATTAATGTGGCACACGTGGATATTCTTTTCGCTTTGTGCTCTGAGACAAACATGGTGTATATCTCGAGAGATCATCGCCTCAACGATCAATTGCGTTGTAAAATTATTTTCATGGTTTAAGTAGAAACAATATTATTCACAGCGCCGGCGGTACTCTCTTCCTCATCCTCTCTCTTTCCCTCTCTGGCGAGTATCGTCTACAGATCGTAGAGTGTACGCAGTCTTGTGATTTTTACACTGTTTTTGTAAAGCATTTAGGGAACGGACAGAGTGTTGATGTACGCCAGAAATACGATTGAGGGAGATGTGTGCAGGCTACAGTGAATACAATGCGTGTGAATCGTGTTTTACCCTTAATCGCATACTGCGTGTATCGAATCGATCAATTGTTATTTTTCGTTCGGATACTTTTCGTTCGCGCCTCCCATCCCTCCCAAGAGAGATAATCAAACATTAGGATTCTATGCTGCCGAATAACCGTGACCCTATATATTTTAAAGCACACGTGCGTATAAGTGGCGAGAAAAATGTGAATAAGAAGCGAAATAAGGAGGAAAATAAGGAGCCCGTCAGGCGTAATCAATCGTCGCGAACTTCCCGAGATGAGAGTTTACTGCGCAAGATATCTGCTGCGACCAGAGAACAATGTTAGATACAATATAACGTTGTAGAAAATATGCCGTACGATGTAGATTAAGCACATAAAAGCGCACGTATGCTGTCTTTTGTATGTAGATGCGACGTAACGATTCTAAAAAAAAAAAAAGAGGAAAAAAGAAAAAAAAGAGAAAAAAATGTGTAATGTAAATAAAACCCGAATAAAACGTAATATTAATATATACAACGGTGGTGACGAATTAACGAGTCCATAAATATCGTCGCAATTCACAGAATTTTACGGCGACATTCTGTAATAAAATCCGAAGCGCGATGAGGGAGAGCAGGAGAGTAGAGGCAACAATCGGATTGACTATAATGCGAATTTGATTTCGAGGACGACGGGGAAGCGATGAACGTGTTACGAGAATAGAAAAAAAGACTGCTCGTTTATTATGAAATTCAAAAATTATTCTGATCGATGTGAATTATCCTATTACATGAGCGCGTTGATATTTATGTTGTTCTCTAGAACTTTCAACTCTGGCACATTCAGGTGTTGGAGATACATTGGGAAGCAGTGATGAGTGGAAAAATTCAGTAGGAAGTCGCGCAAATACTGGCTCATGTTCAGGTGGTAAATCGAGTCATGCACTAACTCCGGGTCCTCGTCGACGTCGCCGTAGCCTGCATTCAAAGCATCTAGTCCTGCAAAAAGATCATGTAACTCGTCGAAAGTTTCCCCGGCGAATAATCGTACGTTTTCTCTCATTCGAGAAACTTACGTAAAATATTGTCGGTTCCAGGATCTATCCATGTTTCTTCGCCTTCGTCATCGTCGTCATCCTCGTCGGATTCCTGTGTCAAAGTCACATCATTTCGACAGAATATAACAACGAGTTTACGGAACAGGTATTAACACGATAACTGTCACAGTCATGACATCAGGGAACTTTGTTTCTGTGATCCCATTTTAAGATAAACTTGTTAAAATGGGAGCTGTAGTAGCGCCGATGTTATATATACTCACATTCGTATCTGGAGTGGCACCAACAGCCTCCAATTCGTCCGAAAATTCGTTGATTATTACTTTAAATATCTTTACAAGTACAGGCACCGTAGTCCATTCGTAAGGCCGCGACTCAGTTTTGCTCCTAGTTCTTACGCCATCTTCAATCCCTGCGTATTTCGAAATCTAAATTCAACATCGCGACGTGCACAATTATAGTCTACTTTTTAGTTGAACTATAGGCTGCTCTTTACTTTTAGAATAAGACTAGTACTTGACTATAACTTGAAGAGAAAAGAAACACACAAAGTTCCTATGCAGATCAGTTTAAAAGAATGAGTTAACGCTTCTTGTTAATTTTCACAATTTGTTCACCGCAAGTAATCATAGGACGTAATCCCACAAACCTGAGATGATGAGATCTCCTTTGACAGTGATCTCGTTCAATCTACTGTCTCCCTGAGTGACTCCGTACTCCAAGATTTTGCATAACGCGACCGTCGCGACTTTGCAATCATATCTGCCGGCGAATTGGTGCTGCCTGCTCACCCATTCGGACAATACGAACGCGAGAGCGCTATGTCCCGTGGGTCCAGGTATAGTCGATAGAAAATTCAGCACAGCGTCGAAGTGTGTGTTTATGAGGTGTGCGTAAATCATCAGCAAACTCTGCATGACGATTAGCGTCTCAGCTGTCTGCATCTTGCTCAACACTGCTCTCAGCAGTACGTCGAGATTCTCGCCGAGGTTGTTACCCACGCGTCTGATCAACGTGGTCACCAAACGCCCAATAAAACTGGCAGTGAATTCGCTCATCTGAAACGCACCAACACGCACATATGAGCGTGCGATTAATCGGCCGACAGATTCCAATCGAAAAATCGGTAGTGCAACTGTACCTGCGGATTCAGTAGCTGACCGATGATCTCCAGTATATACTGCAATCCGGTTCGTCCTTCGCTGTCTTGGTGCGTAATCACTTGCTGAGCCGACACAACCAAGTACGTACGTATAAGTTCACCGCCAGTCTGCAGCGTCATGTGGTCGTCCGAGTTGAGAACGCAGTGGCAAGCAGCCGGGAATGCGGTCTCAAGCAATGCGTTACTCAGAGGTGACGGCGAAAACTGCACCAAGACTATCAGAACGTCCAACGCCGCGGTTCGAAATCCCTCTGAAGAAAGAAGGAGAAGTAAGCGTACAGACGCGAACAGACGGCTTTGAACCGACGTGCGAATCAACGCCACGGCGAGAGAGCGTACCATCTTTCGATTTGTCCATTGACGTTATCGTCATCATACTCGTAAGAGTCGGTATTATACGAGTTTGCAATGGCCCGATGCAGCCCGGATTCTGAGTCAATTCCTTGAATATGTCGTGGCATAGTTGTAACATCAACGGATCGCTATGAAACTTTAGAAACACTGCAATTGTCAAAGGACAAATCTCGTTTTCCACTGATGCTGTAAATTCTTTATGTAGCTATAAACACAAATAAGATCCAAGTAACTTAAATAAAGAAAAGATGTATCCAATAAAAATGTGCGCAATGGGGAGACGTTAGTATTACCGCAATTAACACGTGAAACGTCTCCATGACCAGAAGCAGAACGTCTGTGGATGGCTGACTAGCTAGATTAAACAATCCGCGGAAAATGTTCGGTAAATGACAGCGTATTATGTTGGGAACCGATTCCTCGGACGGCGTCTCGCAGAACCAATAGATCGCCTTAACGGCGCTAATGCGAATGCAAGACGGTTGATTTTCCTGTAAGCCATTAACCGTCGCCTCGACAAATCGCGAGCTCACTTCCGGCGGCATTATCTGGGCGTACCGTCCACCGAGACATAAGCAGCGACCGAGTAGTAACGGAGGCGAGCCTGAGAATCAAAGTACATATCAGAGGTTTGTAATGTTCTGATGTATCAGCTGCGAGACGAGACAATAGTTTTCCAAGATTATAATCACCTGAATCATTCAGCATGCCCAAGACAACCGTATCGAGAAATCGAATAAAATCGAACTGCAATGTCCCACCCTGTTGTTTCTCAACAATGATATCCTTGCAAACGCTCAGTGTCATGATAGAGGCTTCCTGTATTTTCCACCAAGTCTCGTTACTGTTACCACCATCGCCGCTAGCTTTTAAGGCGTTCGTTGTTTCAATATGTCGCGTCACGACGTCGCAAAGCGCATGAATCCCCACCTCCGCGAAGTGATTGACGAGGGTCTGCAAGTAACGTAGTTTCCGCATGAAAATAACAATAGCATTTATAGTTTCAATAGCATTTGTAGAGCTTCCACTCACCGTCAGAAGCTCCTGCGCTGAGATTCTAACGTTGTAAATGAAGCACTGTTCATCTTCCTCAACGAATCGATTCGGATTATTCGTCCACAGTTGAATCTGATCGGGCGTAATTTGCATGAATATTATCAAATAATACATGAGTTCCGGTAATAGATTATCCAACAAATTCGTAAATTTCTTACGATTCGTTATGGACTGAACAAACTCGAATATCGCGATAATTAGGTTGTTAAAGTTGATTACTTCGCCTAAAAAACATGTATATAGGATGTTCATCGTAACAATATTTACTATTTTTGTTTTACTAGTTACAATAATTGGGCAGATGAGAGTTCAGAGATGCAATTCATCAGTTTTTAAACGGCAATAAGAATGATTCATTCTGAACTCCCTCTTTTGTCGATAAAAGTGTCTTTAGATGTGTCTGAAAGTCAATCAGGAAAATCGCTTATTTAGCTTATAAGCCATATTTAGAGACACTTTCATCGATAGAGGATAAGGGCCTATGTATATACAATAGTTAACGCGAAGTAATAATGTACCGTCGGAATCGACTTCCTTGTCGTTAATGTCTTCGTCTCCATTCACCGTCGTTTCCTGATAAGTTTTTGCGCTTTGCGACAACGTCTCCCATACAGATGGTAACATTTGAGGTAAAAAGCCCGACACATACTTAGGCAATTTCGTAACAAGACCGCTTATAGCTTTAATAATATCCGTTTTAAATCCAATGTCACTAGATGGGCCATTAGGCACTCTGAGGCACTCGACTGATTTCTCGCAGAACATAGGAATGACTGGCTGTAGATACTGTTCTATAAATCCCTTTTCGTAAATCCCCGTAACAGCCAGAGTCGTGACAGTCGCGAAAATCTCAACTGCACGACGACGCGTCCTGATGGAATACTGTAAAACAATCGACATGAAGCTGATGAGTCCAAGAAGGCAAATGAAAAGAGTGACAGGTATTCCATCAAATTTACATTTTCACTTTGAAATATCCTGTACATCTCCTGCACAATAACAGGCCCCACATTGGGTAACTGAACATCTGTGAGATCCCGTGTAAATTCTATCAAAACTCTCATTGCTCCATGAACGGCATATTCACTTTCTGTCCTTAAACAACTGACAAGAATCTCAAAAAGGGAAGGCCAATTCTCAGGCCAGTCCCAATGTGCTATACCAGATATTGCATAAGCCACTGTATTGCGTACCTAAAGCCGATAATATTTTGTCTATATATACATGTATATGAGACACTGTTTCTGTATTCATGATTAAATTGTGCAGAGAGCATAAATTGATCCTTCCTATAGCTAAAGAAATTACCTTACTAATAGATTCTCGAAGTCCTAAAGGTAGTAACTCTTTGATCTTTTGCTTAGTGTCAGGGTTAAGTTCTGGTGGACGGAACTTTTCTGCCAATGAACACCAGTGTGCCTCAACATATTGTTTTAGTAAGACAGAGGCCAATTGTCTGATTGGTAAATGTTCATTAGGGTCCACAACAAATTCTGTCAAGTGTATTCCATACTCCTCTGTGACTTCTAAGGCTTGAATTCTCTGTTCAGCAGCTTGACGAGTTTCGCGATGTGGCGATAAGATTCCAGTTAAAGTCTCGTACAAAGCTTCTTTTAAGGAACCTTGTATGTCGTTAGTGACCATGCTCATTGTACGATATTAACTTACTGACCAGCATCTAAAAGACACAATTATTTCTCAAGTGAAACAGACAATTAATTACACAATAGTTACACATTAATTCACACAATTCATTCGTCTCGTCGCAATAATAGATTTTACCTAAAATTGTTGAACAGCTGTTCGAACAATCGTCGTTTATTATGCCTGTTTTGTATTAATTATGACATTTGACATCTCAGAGTATCTGTGAAACATCATGTCGTTCGCATAAATAAAGAAAAACAAGATAAAGGTGCGCGTTTTTACATTAATTAAACGGTAAAAGCGTAAAACGATCGAGATAAAGTAAAATTTGTCTGGCAGTACATTTGTCAGTGACGACCATGCATGAAATTCAAAAACATAATCGGACGAATGTTTGAATTCTATTCGAATTGCCGTCGATTTAATATGCACATAAAATTCTACGCAGTTACTATTAACCGGATCAATATAATAGGAATATAACCCTTATAAATATAAAATAAAACAGCACAACGTAGAACAAGATGCACATATGTATATACATACGAGCAACTTGCACTTGACGGACCGGTAGTGCGTGAACGAACGTTCAAAATTTTCTGCAAGCCGGTTCGAGAGACAAATTGGTTATTTCATTGTTCATATATTTGGCAAGATGCGTTATCACTAAAGATTATGGGATGCAATGTAGGGACCCTAAGGTACAGTCAGTGAACGAAAGGCTGCGACCCGAAAGAAGCCTGAGAGTGGCCATGAACGCGCGATTTAGCTGCTTTGTTTTCAAGCGCCTCTATAATCATAAAATGTGAACTACCTCAATGTCCACAATTCTTCTCAGTGGGTAACGTCTATGGTTCTGCTCTATGCTACCTTCGTATTTTCTCACTTGCAAGGAGACTCGTATAAATTTAATTTCTGAATAAATTCCGGGAATCCTCATGCAAACTTATATAATAGATGCCCGTCGAAAATATTCGACAAGAAAGTTAACGATTATTAAAATGTTCAAAAACATTTCAAACTTTAATAATTAATTCGAATATCAAAACATATTGAGCGAAACAAATATTTTTTTTTTCATGTAGGTTTGTCGCAATAATTGCCAAACCTTGAGAGAAAAGATTGAAAGAACAGTTATATAAAAGGCGACAAGAGAGAAACGCGCATTCTTGAAATTATCAAATTTATTAGACTATTTTATGCGGCACTTGAGCTTCAAACAATCTTAATATCTCATTATTGCATTCATTATCGCAAGCGATCGCAGATCAAACCGCAGAAAATCATACACGAGAAGTAATCCACACATGAGCGGAAATTAACAAACGGGATATGCATCGGGATGAATAATGATACGCATATGTCTACGATGTTACACAAGATTATATTTCGTAACTTTCTCCCTTCTCTCTCATTCTGCGGTGTTCTTTCGGCGGGCCGGACCCGTTAAAATGTGACAAAATGTTCGTTCGTCATAATGGTAGTTCTGACTTGACTCTCTTTTTTATATTTTCTTTTTTCAACTTCACTTACGCTCTTTACAACGATCGATCGGCGTTTGCAAACCTGTTTGCCATCGATCCCGAACAGTCTCTCAAATTTACCGATCAAAAGGGCGCGTACACGCATAATAAATGCGGTTTTCGCAGAGCTACACCGCTCGCAATGGTGAACCAAAGGGCTCCTTTCGCACACGCAGATACACGCACGCACACGTCATACACGCACATACACGACACACACTCTCTCGTTCTCTCTTTGTCATCTCTTGTTCCTGTTCCTCGAGAATAACTAAGGCAAAGAACTACTTTCAAACAATACGAGTCACATATTCATCGCGTTATGCCGATAGAGAATAATATTTGCCTCTGTGCTTTCTTCCTTATTCTCCTTTTGGACGTCACTTCTATGTACCAATATATTTAAATAAAGATTCGTATAAAAAGGAACGTCTCGCAGAAAACTAAATCGTGTGCTGAACGTACGAAAGAATATAGTTATGTTAATAGATTACTAGAAGCGAACGTAATTCTTAGACTAAAAATTCAAATGACAAACGTTGCCGTCTTTGCTGGCGAATTACTATAAAAAGGCATTGGATCGGATGCGAAAGAACGCGATTCTCGCTCGTTCGCTTTTGTTTCCTAAGCGTACGATACAACTCGAAGACGCGTAAGCGAAGACACTACTTTGGAGAAATAAAAATAATACATTCGAAGTTCTTCTTTTCCTAAATCTTGCAGAATACCTCGACACTCCAAACGCGTCTAAATGTCAATACTTTGCACCGTCAACAGACCCCATTAGCAGTTAATGAGGTAGTAATTATTTTCAAGTATATTCTATATATGATAACATAAAGACTTCGAATGCACTCGTATTTTAACGCACTCACGCCACATGCTTTCACGCACACTTCACTTGTCACTGTTTACCCTCTGGTTGCACTAGGCATATGGAAAAAAAAGAAGTGCACAACGCCGCTTAGTGTAATCGAGAAAACGAAAACAAGATTAATATAATTTTTCCCTGTAATTGCAAACGGGAGCCGCAGCAGCGAACGTTGTGCAAAGTAACAATCCGCGAATGTGACGTTCATTTCATCACATACTGTTACACGTAATCTTTCTGGATTTTAGGCAAAACTATCTCCAAGTCCATAAAATATCTGTGACATCAATAAACTGACTTTATCTAGGTACTTAAAAAGACGATCGAGTCCCACATATCCGAGAGAAGGCCGAAATATTTTTTGTAAGTCTTGTGACAGGGTTGTCGCGAAAAAGATATTGCGGAGCATTATCGTTCATTTATTGGTCTCACTTTTCATAATCCGGAAAGTCTTGCAAAATTGCTTACACGCGTCCACAATGCAACGGGCAGTCTCATTATCCTGCACAACATTCGTTCGCTATAAATGTAGGTACGTATTATATGTACGTATACATATACATATATATGTATAAGTAAAATTATAAACTAACATCTCATCTCGCTTAATGTCGCAATAACCGTTAATAATAATATGAATAATTAAAAGTAACTAGTTAACCGATTATGTATACGGTAATTATATGTAACGACGCGCTCGCAATATGCCACACACATTCGAATTGTTATATATTCTTTCATATATATATGTATATATATATATGTGTGTGTGTATGTGTGTACAATATATCTATATACATATATATATATTGTTATTGTTATAATACATGTACATATATATACGTACGTATGTGTGTGTGTGTGTATATGCTTACATTTGTATAGTTACGCTTGTAAAGTATTTACAATTGCAGAAGGGTATGTTCATTATTTTGTAGGCACTATGGCTTTGGACGTACACTAAAGTTGTACGTTAGAGTACATCCTTAAGGGACTTCCAGACGAGATAATTTCCCCAGTGTATCCTTGAGCTCTCGAGGAACGAAAGGAGGTGACTCCGCGCGAGTCTCGCTCGATGAAACGTCTTCGGCGGCGTGCGCGCGACAGAATTCAAGTGCCCACCGGCAAAAGAACGTCTTTCTGTAAAAATCCCCGCGATCAGGTTCAAAGTAGTACTGCGAATATAGATGGATCTCGGATGACAATCGTCCGGACGCCGACTATTGAAAATACGCATATCCGCGCTGCAGCGATATAATCCAAGATTGCCATGCGTCTGCTTCGCTCCTTGCACGTTTTGAGTTCGTCTCCGTGTTCGCGACGTCGAAAAATCGAAAAAAAAACTAATTTTTCCATAGAAGTTTTAGATCAGAGAGAACCAATTGATGATGGTTCTCGACTGCCTCATTCGTTTCACGATTGACGAAAAGCAATTTGGTCGTTTCCTCTGACGCAGTCTCTCCTCTTCCTCTCATTTTCTCCCTCTCTTTCTCTCTCTCCCTCACACACACACAAACACACATTTCTTCTCTCTTCCTACGTTCCCGATGCGAATATACGCTTCTCCCTATCACTTAGTATAACTTTTATTATTACAGATTGCACGGATAAAACGCCTTCTCTCTTTCCCTCTGGAGCTTTTGCGATTCATTACGTAATCGACATCAATCGTTATCAAGCCGGAAGCACGTACCAACAATTTCGTGATATGTTTTTCCTGTGCCTCGCAGTTCGATTTATCCACATCCAGAGCTTACGATCCCCGCAAGAAGCCGTAATAAAATGATAGCACAAGACATTCCGAAGCGTATGCGCGTGTAATAAGAGAACGTAAATGTAAGAACGCATTAAAATACTCCAGCATAATTCTCTCATAACACAAACTACATAATAATGGACCAATTAGTAAAATCATGTACAAACAGAATATAAACTATTTCGCTTATACATTAGTTTGTATTTACAATCATTCGTAGAAATCGAAAATATACGACGTTTTATAGCGCATGACCTCACTAAATCACTTTGTCGTTCTTTCATTAACGTTAATCGTAAAATATGAGAATAAACGTTCGCTCGGGAAGAAATGGTAAAATAAATAAAAGCGATATCGCATATCGCACGAATTGTATATCGGAAAGATCGGCGCACGCAACGAAGTTACCTACTGTCCTATCGTGTGACGCGAAGGCGCATTAAAAATCTGACGAGGCGACTCCGTCCGTTCGAGCACCAGGGAGGCGAACTCAGAGTGATGGTCCAAAGAGACGAGAATGCTCTCTTACGTTTCTAGTGGCGACGACGATGATATTCCTAGAATTTCAAATCGAACAAATCCGCGAGACCCTCCTCGGTGCCTAATGAGAACGAGTAGTCGTTCTCGGAAAGCGGCGGTTCCAAAGCCAGCAATTGTTCTCCAAAATCGAACATATCCAGTTCTGTAACAGAAGCAGAGTCAATGAAGGATGACAAACCAATATAAATACGTTAATATAAAGTGCATTTGTTTTTTAATCCCTCTGTCATAATGAATGCCGTTATTAATGCATTATTTTCACTTAGATCGTTCAAAAATCATTTGGGAGATAATAAATCGGTTTTTTTGAGAACTCAAAGAATATAAAAAATAATTTTGCGAAGTTTATGTTACGTAATATTGGATCTTATACATATTATTATTGATATACATTAATTATTTAAAATTATTCTCATTATTGAGAAATATCTATCGATAATGTGGAACTTTCGACATATGTTTACATCAATCCTATTTGCGTCACAAAGCATCGTTTTATTTTACTGAGAAAGATGTAAGTCCGCGATATACGTTACAAAGCGTTAAGAAGTACAATTAAGGCATATTGTTAGTTTTTAGAATTACGTGTTAAGAGCAGTTTGTCAGATATGCCTACAAGCTTTCATCAAATAAGTAACCGAAAAAGTAACAAATGCAGCAAAATGTTTCCATAGTGGATTGTTTAGTCATGAGAGAATTGCTACTCGTGATATCAAAGTCGGATCGCTGCAAAATTCGAGTCGATGGATTTTCAGGTCAAAGATTGTATTTATTTTTCTCCTCCGACGTCAAATCTAATTGTAAAAAACAGACGATCGCGTTAAGAAGCACATCTTACATTTATATGTTGATCACACGACAATGTTAACAATTGTAACATCACAATAAAGAGGGGAGCCAATAGTTAGTTTGTATAAATGAACGTACCTTCGCGCGACACGAGCTTTGCTGTATGAAACCGTTACCTAACTAGAACTCTGCCTGTGATGTGACTTTAATAATATTAACACACAAGTCACAGCCAGAGCTCCATCAGGGTACGGCTATCGTCCATTGGTGAAAAGGCAGAGAAGTATGTTCAAAGGACAGGTAACGCGGATCATAAAGTTACATGAAATCGTGTAACTATTACTACCGTTCCTTTGAACGAGATTTGTCCACGAATAATTATTAAACTATAGCATGCAATACATTCTTATCGAGCATAGAAAAAGAAAAAATTGTAGTGAAGAAAGTAAAGATAATTACCTCAGTGTGTGTGTGTTATTGTAAATTTTCAATAGGAAATGAACGATTATTCAGAAGTGCATCTGTCAGCAACAAAAAGTAGGAAAATTCGAACGTATTTTACAACAAAAATTAAATGAACAAAAATTAATTAATACTCTGTTATAATGAATATAACTGCAAGCTGGATGAAACATAAGAAATTCAACGCAAATAAAAAGAATTACGAAAACAAAAAACGTAAAAAAAATGTGCAATAAAATATATTTATTAAGATACCAGAGTAAGGAAATATAGATATGTACATACATCTGTATTTAGAACAGATAAAATTTTCTAATAGTGCATATATATATTAGAGACAACATACTTATAAAAAATATGAGATCATACCCTCTTTCTAACAAGTTCCAAACGCAAATGTAGAGGCAGGTAACAATGAAATTCGAGGGAGAAAACTTACTTTAAAAATTAAATTAGTTTTTTGCCACTTCAGGGCTTCTTTTAAAATAACTGTAGAAATTGCGCTATTTCTAACGAGTTGACTACTAATATCAAGTGGAGAGCACATGAAAGAAAGCCCATATATACAATGAATGCTTGGAATAAAAAAGAAGCAGGTCAGGCAAGCTAAAGCTAACGATCAAAGTTGCTTACGACCCTACCTGGAGTGCTGATTTGGTCCTCCGTTTGGAATTGGAACTTGCCACCGCCCATTGGTCCATAATCGTCGGATTCGCAGAGGAACGCATCCTTCATACTTGTTAAACTGCTAACTGAAGATATGGGGGTACACAGGCGAGCGTTCAGGGAACTTTCGTCGGAAGGTACTGGTTCGACTCGCACGTCGACATCTCTATTAATCAACAGTTCAGGGGGTAAAGAAGTAGGTATGTCGGATTCTTTTGATTGAGGCACCACGGATTGCGTTGTCGCGTATCCGGAATAGGGTGACGTTTTGACTCCGGGGTCGTCGGGACACAGAAACACCTCTATCTCCCCGTGAGACGACCTCATGTGCATCTGAAGCTAGAAGTGTCATTATCGCGCTTAGAGAGCGAAATGTAGCAACACTCGCGTGAAATATATCTCGCGTTCGTCTCGCAAGCATAAGATAATATCATTTCCGGTGACGTCCGTGCGGAAACAATATTCAAACTTTGCTCATGTTTACCTTTTGTTGGCCAAGATTACTCGTGGGTTGCGGAACATGGAGGGTTGCTTCCGGCGGTGCTTTCACAGCCATGATAGCTTGCTCTTTGTACATTGGGACTGAACGTAAATCATGGTACGTTACATAAGCGTATTTTCTGTCTGCGCAGAGTTCGCGTAGGTTTTTGTTCGCACCATGGATTAATCGATCCAAGGTGTTTTCCTTCGCTTCCAGGTCTGCGACCTCCCTGCTGAGATCGGCGATGTCGTTCCGTTCATTCGGCAACTGACCGCCTCTGTGTAGAACAATTTACGTCTTTAATATAAAAATGTCTCCGATCTGTCGCTCGGTGTAAGCAATGTGCGCAGTATTAGCGGATAACGTACTTCCACTGGATATTGTTTTTACTTTTCTTCTCTAAGATACCGATGCCCTCTAAGACATTAGTAATGTCGTATATACGACGCTTTTGTACCTCCAGCTTCTCGGACGCCACATTCAAATCCACCACACCGTCCTGACTGCTCTCCACCAAGTGGATGAACTTCTTCGTGAGTAGGCTCAACGACGTATCGTACCGTGTCCTTTCTACAGTTTTACCTGCAATGAGGACGGTTCTTCCTTGCGTGAAATGTGAAAGACGGGGTGGGAATGTCATAAAGCAAAAACAAAATTTACTTTTGGTGGGTGTGTGACCGGTCAGAGAATTCGAGCCGGATCTCCTGCGTTTACCTCTAGGAGCCTTGAAAGCCGGTTGGCTGGGACCAGTTGTCCCCACCTCCAGATTCAGTCTTCTTTTTACCGCCTGAACTGATATCTATCAAGAAAAAAAGTATATTTGTCAAGGAGAATAGCACAATTGTCATTTGTCAAGAAAATTACTGATATCTTTTAAGAAAAGAAACAGTTTACAAGTCATCATCAATCATCAATAATTATCTAGCAATAATCGCACGATTATTGATATCTGAGAATTAAAATTGTTGTGTAGGCAACAGTAGCTTGCTTTACCTCAGCTCGTGGAGGTGGTTGTGGGGGTTTCCTGGTCATTTGATAGGAAGGTGTTTGTCCATATTGGTGATCTTGTAAGTGTGGACTTGGTGTCTCTTCCACCGACTTCTGGACTTCATCCAAGGATCCATCGTCCAGGTATTCGGATTTTACTGTGAAAACAAGTTGCTTGAGTGAGCCAATCTGAGAAAGTTGTGTGATCATACGACGTGATGTGTGCAAGCAATATTTCATTATAAATAAACTTACTCAATTTCGTTTCTGTCATATCCGGCGTAACAGGCCCAGTTGGATCTTCCAGAACCACTTGTCTCCTTACCCGAGGCATCCTGGCAATGTGATCTTGTCTGGAACACAAAGTGGCACACACATCAAGCTATATAACTCGCGAGTCGTTAGATGCATCATAACCAAATAAAATCACAAATTGTTTAGAATATTCTACAATTGGACAGTCAAATAAATGTATGTAGAGTCTATGCTGATTCCTCACAACGAGAAAGTCTTACGTCGCGGTTCACGATTGACGCAGAAACGAACGTCGAAAGAGAGCTCGAGGCGACAACAATCGTGTTACCTACTACAGCCAACATACAACCGCGTATCATTCTTTCTCTCTCTTTCTCTCTCTCTCTCTCTCTCTCTCTCTCTCTCTCTCTCTCTCTCTCTCTCTCTCTCTTTCCAGATACTTCTATTGTATACACCACGTACAAACCTATTTCTAAGCGCGCTTCGCATTTTCTGTCCTAACCGCTGGCCACCGCGTGCGTTCGTCGGCATCTTGTCGGCGTGTTGCACGTGTGGCGAGTGTCATTTTTAAATGCCCAGGACTCTCACGGCGGCGAGCTGCCGTCGACGCCGTCCTCGAGGGCCAAGCCAGTCCGCGTACAAAAGAGCGATTCTGCACGCATGCATATGCACACGCCACGAGAACAGAAATAATAAGGGCGTGCGAGCACCGCGCTAGAGCGCAACTATGTTGCGCGATATTAGCATCTCTGGCGGCGGTGGAAGGCGGCGATCGGATTGCGCGGCGGCGGCGGCGTCGTGCCGCCTTAGGTCGGACGCGCAACGAGAATTGCGCGAGTCCAATGAAAGTGGCCGCGAAAAGCCGGGGGAAAAACGACGACGGTGGAAAAAAAGAACCAAAGTAACAAAAGATCCACTTTTATTTAGATTTCCCGGAAAAATAATAGAGCGAAGTATCTGTCGAAGTCGAAATTTGAGAAACAGAAAAGTCGGATGAAAGATAATCGAAGTTAGAAAAGGGCCTTGAGACTCTAATTTTTTAAAACTCAAGAATGTGTCTCGCCCAGAAACTCGTTCAAATATACTGTACACAATTGTATCTCGAAACTGCATAGTCGATATAATAAAATAAAGAAGTTTCTATACTTGGCAACCGCTCTTTGGTTTCTGAATTCTCAATAGCCAGTATCACAGAGATTATTGCAACTCATATTAACAAGATTCACACATGCAGAATCACACATCTGCATTTGCACGCCAACTGATGTCGATTTTGTGGATCTGTGTGTATTGTCGAGGATAAAAATTCAAATGCGCAGTTTTGTGTAAACAAGAAAAAAAGGGAAAAAATAGACTTTCGCGCGGAGACACGGTGTGTTACTTTTCAGAATTGAGGTTGACACGGTTCGATTTTCGACGTTAAAGTATGAAAAGGGTGTCTTCGCATCTTCGCGTAATGCACGGTGCGTCGAGGCGACATGCTGAAAGAAATTGTACCGAACTGAGGCTACCGGCCACCTCTCTCTTACTCGAACCGGTCCAAAAAATGAGGCGCAAATTTGCAATAGTAAACACCAACTCGATTAATGCGGCTTCGCAGACGTTAGAACGGGACTTCTCTCGCGTTAGAGATCGTTAGCTGGGCCGTGTGTGTGTGAAGTGAGGCGTGTGCACGTGACACCGTTTGTATCGCATATTCATCAGAAGCTAAAAATACGAGAAGCACACTTTCGAAAATTGCAAGTATAGCCGCGTCGGTGAGACGCAACAAAATTGTAACGTTCCAGCAGTGAATTTTGCGACACGCGACGCTCACAACTGCTCTCTAAAGTACAATCAGTGTTCTTCAGTAAAATAGTGTACTTATAAGTGGTGGTTCAATTATAAATATAGCATTGCAATCAGAGTAAGATATCGCTGAAGGGATCAGTAAATATATTAACTGATCCCTTCTACTGATTATACTGTTTATAGTCCTAGAGATATCCAGATAACTGTGGAGTGTATTTTGGATATTTGTACTACATGCATTTAAATTCAGGTATGTTATTTTGAAAACCTTTACATTTTCTTTTTATTTTTCACATTTCTTAACGTTTTAGGTTTTAGGTTACATCATTTAACACATTTAAATGTATTGAATTATAATTTACACATCTCTTAGGGCCGGTTTTTCAATGATAGTTTAAACTTAGATTGCAACTTAAACTTTGTTTAAACAAAACAAATGTTTAAACAAACGCATTGTTAGAATAGAGAATAGAGTTTAAACTTGAATCCAAGTTATTGCTATTGAAAAACCGGTCCTTAAACGTGTTAAATGACATGATGTAAAATCATACAACGAATTTGTATATTACTAAAAATTTCAGTGAAAACACTGTTATTTTACTATATTTCTCACTGATATTCACCAGTAGAAGTATTCACTGCAAAATTTATAATATTTAAATTCGTTATATGTTGTACTAAATCCAACTTTTTGTGTTTTCATTGAAAATCAGTAAAAACTCATTAATCATCGATGAAATAATCCGTTTACTGACGTTATTAAAAATTTTTGCTGATTCACTTTAAGACAGTGTCTAGTAGTTTCGACCTAATGTAACGAACACATTTCAGTAATCCCTCTCCCTACACGGCTATTAAATTTTATATATATATATATATATATATATATATATATATATATATATATA